AATTCGACGCGAGATGACGAGGTTGGAGCTAGCCACGATGAGGCGGGCTAAGTCTTAATGGCGCGACGATGGGAGCAAAGCTCCAAAATTGGAGCTTGGCCTGGCCGTAATCAAGGCAGGGTAGGGTCGGTCGACAAAAGGATGTAAAGGCGGAGACACGAGCACGAGGAATTGATGAGAGGTGCTCGCTCTCTGACTCGGCGTGACCGCGACTCAATGGCGACGGAAAGCATAGGAAGAAAGAGAGAGATGGGGCGTGGCAGGTGGGCTCGGCTCGTCCTCACCTTGGTGGGACGCAAGCGGTGAGATCGGGAGACCCACATGCCAGCGCTAGCCGATAGACGTGCATGCGCCCGACCGACGTGGCTCGCTCGGCCGTAGTGTCATTAATGACAAGGCGACGACGAGCCTGACCACGTGTGTGTGGCAGAGGCGACACGCACTGGGCCGGCAACAGCACAGAGATGCAATGAACACGCGTGGACGTGATGATGATGCGATGGCAGTGGCAGTGTCGCAGCGCGAGGTGGGTCGGTAGCGCGGCGAGGCAGCAGTGGCAGACGCGACGGCGAGGTGATAACGCCGGCAGTGGCTTCGCCATGGCATGGTGGGGCCAGCGGCAGCCGAGCCATAGCCTGGCCAGAGGCAGCCACGGCCGGCCGCATGCGGAAGCGCGTGCATGCATGACCAACGCGGAGATGCCGAATGCCCGAGGATGGTGATCGCGACCACGTGGCCAACCAGCCCGAGACATGTGACGTGCACGAATTTTAAAGCGCTCAACACGACCAAACGGTTGCTCCAGGAGCCAAACCAACTTCACCACGCTCAAGATGGCATATGAGACTACCAAATCGAGCTATAACACTACACCACCCTTTAAGCCATTCTCTCACAATAAATTGCTACACATAGCAATGTCTAGCTGTTGACAGACTCGAAAATTTCTAAGTTTTTGAGTTGGATTTGTTTTCAAGTTCTGTTTCTAGACTATTAGAAATACCAGCTAGTAACATTATTTTTCTACAGCAAGTATTTCATTGTCATCTACAAAGTTTTCACTTTAAACTTTATTTAAGTGTCACATACATGTTCTATAGTATTTTTGTTCAATAAAAATTAGTTTCAAACCCTCCTTGATATGCATGAACTATCGAATCAACTTTCATTTAGCATTTTTATTGATCATTTTGAGTTATAGAAATTGATCTACACACTTTATCACATGCATTATCACAAAAACATGATGCTCATGACATAGTTTAGCAAGTTGTTTAAGCGGTAACACCGAGGGTGTTACAATATCTTCACCATACCCATTCGATGCATCCATAACTCCTCGGAGCTGCTTTTTCTTTCTTCTACCCTTCTTTGTCTTCAGAAGGTTCAGGTCGGGAACATAATCCAACCTGTAGTACTCAGGCCATTGTGTCGGATCTAGGTAAGGCTCGGAGCTCGACTCCCACACTTTGAGAGTGTTTGACATGAGGTAAAAAGGACACTTGAACTTTTCACTTTCGTGGTCTAGACCTCTGCATTTGCAAGCTGTAATGACATGCGAGCAAGGCACATGGAGGAGTTGTGGAATGTTATAAGAGCATTCGGCTTTCTCAAGGTGCACCCTATAATTCCTACCACCGTACTTCTTGCCCCCCGGGTTCGTTCCTGCGGCTGACCTGATATTATACACTAACCGAGATGGCCCAAAGGCCTCCCCCACTTGGTTGGAAGCTATCGTCTCCGAGAGATCCAAGTGTTTTCTACTGGCTCTACCCCATTTCTCTTTGGATGCCTTTGCAATGTTCCATCAATTGACAAATTATTCATTGCACTTCCTGAAGGAGTACTCCACAATACCTGACACGAGGACTACATGAATACCCTTGAACACCTTGTTGAACGATTCTAAAGAATTAGTAGTCATCAAGCCGTACCAAAGACCTCCAGCATCAAATGCAAGAGCCCACTTGTCCCTTTGAGGCATCTGATCCTCAAGCCAACTCTTTGCCCTAACATTGAGGACCTTGTGTAACTCCGCAAGCGTCTCTTCGAACTTTTCCTTGGTTCGACACCCACATAGTGACTTCAACTTCTGCACTACCTCCTTTTTCTTCTGGCTCCTCCATATGTTGGCAGCAAAGTGCCTCATGCACCACCGATGCTCAAGAGGAGGGCGTCCATCTACATGCTCTTTCGCAGCTGTCAGCAGACCATGATGACGATCTGAGATCATGCATATGTTCCGAGATGAACGGAGCACATTCTGTCTCACATGCTTCATGAACCAACATCAGCTGTCGTCATTCTCACCCTCAGCCAAAGCGAATGCTAAAGGGACAAGTTGATTGTCCTAGTCCACTCCAATGACAATCATCAATACACCCTTGTACTTGCCTGTTAGGAATATACCATAAACAAGTACTAAGGGACGACAATGCTTGAAGGCCTCCGTGGACTGAGCAAAACACCAAAAAAGTCTCTGCAGAACAGGCTTCAGAACGCCATCCACGTCCATGACAATGCGACCCACAGAAGGATACCACCTAAGGCCTATATTGTAGTGTTTCATGTCACTTAGAATCCTAGGATCTTAGATGTACGCCTCTTTCCAATCACCCCATAGCAACTCTATAGCATGCTGCTTTGCCCACCATGCCTTTGAGTAGTTCACTCTATAACCAGTGAACCAAAATATGGTCTCGATCATGCTTGAAACATATGTGTCACTATCGGCTCTAACCATGCCAATAAGACGATGACCAAGGTAACGGGATGTGTTTTGGGCGCGCACACCCTTTGGCTTCGAAGATCGACATGTGTGAGGTTGCCTCACATTGCGAATCTTACACTTTTCATTTCTCTGCCTTCGAGCCCATAGACCCCATTGACATCTTTTCTTGCAGAGGACCATGTACCTCTTATTCTTGTCAGAGTGGCTAACATAATATGGCCTGTGAAACCGAACAACATAATCCATTAGAAAATACTTGAGATGCTCCAACGTATCAAATATCATTCCCTTCTTAATCTCCACCTCCTCACTATCTGGTACCTCATCGGCCAACAATGACAAACCGGTGTCACATATTGTCTGGTCAACCATACTAATGTCCATGAAATTTGGTACCGAGGGTACCTCCACATGGACAGCCTTCAATTGCCTCAATTTGATGTCATTGTACTCCATTGTCAATGACTCCTATTGCGTCCAGAAACCCTCCCTCACAACAATCAATTTTGTCCTCGCTACTAGGCTCAGACCTATACTCGTCCTCCAACACATCATCCGAAGTACTTGGCCCTAAAGTAAAGTCATCTTCGTCCACGAAAGCAACATCAACTTCGTCATCCTCCGATCCTTGGGATATGTCATCCATATCATGTGTTTCATCTCCATTGCCATCGTCCTCATCAAACGTTTCTTCATTGAAATCATCATTCAAGGCATCGGGCTCACATGACCTATCAACTTCTCTAACGACAACCGCCTGCAACTCTTCGTCTAGAGTAAGGTTCTCTACGGGCTCCACATCTACATTATCATCCACATCCACCATAATTTGGCTAGACCTCTTCTCCACAACAACTTCCAAGCACCTAACACTGCTACTCTTAACAACCTCTATGTAGTTCTTCCATTCATCCTCACATGACAAACACATCAACACATAATGTGCCCATTCCTTCCCACAATCAAATCTGCCTCTCAAACTTAGTGGCCACCCAAATTTATCCCCGCACTTGCTAACCAAATCATCAAAGGTAGGAGGTCCACTAAAGAACTCAACATATTCGTGCATGCTTTCGAACTCCCCGTTTCCTTTCACTTTGCCACCATGAAACAATCGCACTAACTGATCTATCTACAAAATACGAACCAACACATCAACAGCGCATAAACTACGCATTTTGGAAATAAATCATATCCATTCACTAATACACTACAATAACAAAAACTTCACAGTGATGTCAACAAAGGCAACAAACATTCCGATCTAAATCCACCATGCACCAACTACCAAAGTCCATGCAACACGTAGTTTACGTCCAATCCACGGGCAGAGTATATCCTAAACCTAATCTATGCATCAAATACTAACAAGCAACGATCAAAACATTGTCACCATCCCTAATTTCCTAACCCTAGTCTTCAAATTCATGAGGCAAGAAATTAAGAAAAAGACGGGGGAAGATCAACCTGGCGGTGTACTTGAGTCCACGGAGCAGGGAGGTCGCAGACCACGCTGGGACAAACCTCGGCGGCAGCGGCACCGCGGCAAGGCGCCGACGACGAGGGGAGCCCGCCTGCTCCCCCTGGCGCTGCTCCCCTGCCGCACTAGGGAGAGGGAGAGGGAGAGAGAGAGAGAGGGTAGCAGGAGCAGCCACTGAACTCACCGACGTCGTGGCCTCAGATGGCTGGGGCGGCTGGGAACACGGGGTGGCGGCGGCGCCCAGGCGTGCGGAGTGAAGGAGAGGGAGAGCGAGACTGAAAGGAAAATGGGCCGGGCCGACCAAATCGTATATAACCTTATCGCGCCGGCCCGCCTGGCGCGACAACCCTGTCCCGCCTAAGTCGCTGGCGCAACAGGGCGGGCCCCACGGAATGCCACGCCGGCTCCGATCAATGATGCGTGCCACTGTGGCGCCCTTGTCGCGCCAGCGCATGTGGCACGATAAACTGGTGCAGTCGCACCACTCGTGCTGACGCGACCAAAAGGGATAGATTTGCAAATATTTTTTTGAGATTAGTATTAAAATATTGTTTAAAAAAGAATTAAAAATAAAAAAGTCCACCGCGGTCTGCGGACGACTTGAGTGAGTTGTAGCCTCCGCCGGGTCTACCCATAGGCTCTGACCGAGCACGGAGGCGTGGACGCAGCGCAGGCACAGCCCTGAGCCCTGGTCTGTTTGGGTTTTTGGATCCACCCGCGCCCTTGCTTCCCATACGGTACGGCTCGGCTGCTGCGGCTACGTCCATCTGCAGGCGTCTCCTTCAATCAATGGTCGCCGCCTCATCCTCCACCGCGCCGCAGGTGGCCAAGATGCCTGCTGCACCGACCTCGTCCACCTCCGAGCCGCTCCCATCAGTCACGCCCACGCGCCCTCGCCTCCGCTGCTGCATCGTCCGCGAGGTGAGCTCACGCTACCTCTCCACGCCGCTCCCGGCCCCGTCCCCTCGCCTCTCGACCTCCTCATTCCACTCTGCCACGCCGCTCTCGGCCCCGTCCCCTCGCCTCTCGACCTCCTCGTTCCACTCCGCCACGCCGCTCCCAGCCCCGTCCCCTCACCTCTCGACCTCCTCGTCCCACTCCTCCACGCCGTCCACGCGGGCGGCGCACAACCACTGCATGCCCGCCGCCTCCACCACCGCTGCCTCTGGCCTTGCCGACGAAAACCGCCCGCCGCCGCCTACGCCAGGCTCGCGCAAGCGCGGCGCAGCGTGGGATCTGTTCGAGGAAATGCACTGCCCGCGCCTAAACCCGCTCGCTCCTCTCGCCGTCGCTGGTGTCCCCGGCGCCACCGCCACTCCCAGGCCCGGCCCAAGGCGAATCCTCGACCCGTTGTCTAGAGCCTCTCCTAACATCACCACGGCGGCGCGCCAACACCGTAGGGGCTGTGCGCGACCATCAACACCAGCGCGCACCAGCTTCAGCTTCTATAGCGCTTCGCCTGAGACCTCGGCTGCAGCCATTGACTCCTGGGCTGCAGCTCCCTGCCCTCGACCTGTCCCGTTCTCTGAGCTAAGGACATTACCACCAGGGACAACAGAGGGGCCCGGCCGACCACCAAACCCATTCTGCTTTCAGGCCCTAGCCTCGGCGCTGCCAGATCGCTGCCGAGCAAAAATACCAGCAGCTGTGGTGAAGCCCGCGCCGCCGCCGCCTACACGGAAGGTGGTAGTGGTTAAGAAGGGAGCAGCGGTGATGGGAGGCAGCAAGTCTGCGGGGAAGCAGGAGGATGTGCAAAAGCTGCGGATTCTAGACAATTGCTACATGCAGTATAGATTTTTGAATGCCCAGGCAGAGGCTGTGGCGATAACCAAGAAAGCTGTTGCTGAGGTGTGAAATATTTAAGATCTAACTAGTTCAGCTTTCACCATTGGAAGTTCGAGTTGCAGTGATCATGTCATTTTATTTGTCATTTGGATATACAGGAATCACTATATGGGCTCTGGGAGAGGATTGCTGATCTGCAGAAATCTGTTGCACAAAAAAAGGCTGAATTGGAGTGTCTAAAGAGGATGGAGAAGGTGGACTTTGTTGTTGATGCTCAGGTATGACAATGTTGTGTTCATCTGCTTCTTCAAAACATGGAAGTAGTTCGAGTTACCTCATCATGGAGGAGAGAAGACATGGAATGGACTTAATAAGGAGTTAATTAGTTACACACACGTTTGTCTTGAACAGATGGTTTAAAAATTAAAAATCCATGCTTAGCATACATGTGATCCAAAACAGCTAATATTACGTAGATTTTTTATTAAATTTTTTGCGGAGTTCTACTGGGAGAGCATCCACTCATATCCCTAGTTAATCACAGCTTCCTCAAGTATAACACAGAACACATTACTTCCTCCAAATGCAAGGCTTGTAACTAAAGTTGTTGTGGTACTAAAATTACTGTGGTTTGGATCTGAGTAGCAGTAGTTGTGCATGCGGCACATCAGGAGCATAGCTAGATGATTTGCTGAGGAGATAATATGTTATATGTTGATACTTTGATAGTTGCTCTTTGGTTGGCAGGGCTCTGGTTTACTTGATTCTTTAGGATCAAGATTGTTAGATGTTGAACTTGTTTGTTTGTACCTTAAAATTTTTGTGGAGCTCATGTGCTTGTGAGATAAAGCAAGAATAAACAACGTTTTATAGTTTCTCCCTCTGTTGTTTTTAATTCTTTTCTACCGAAACTCACACTTTATTATTACTAGGTAGCATGCCCGTGCGTTGCTACAGGACAACTAAATTCTTATACTAAAAGCATATGGATCGCACGAGTGATATATTTAGATAACTAATATATGTATATATACTCACAATAATCTTTAAAATTAGAGAGATCACGTCACACCATTGCTAGGCAAGCAATCATTTAGCATGTTTAAATAACGGCAGTACATTGTTTCTATTTAATCGTCAACGTCTAAAATAATCTTTCATCATTTAACATTGGATAAATATGAGCTCGGTGCTTTTCGATACATCAATTTATAGATGCATTAATCTAAAACAAATTTGAATGTGGTGGTAGACTAATATTTATTCACAAATCGATTGCAGAATTGGAACAAAGGGAACTTGTAATAACCAGCACGTGCAATTTCTTTTAGATACATTTTGAACATATTGTTTTATTGCGGGATGGTTAACATCATCCACAAACTGAAACTATCTTGCTGCTGCTACTGTGCAATCCAGTGATCCAATAACATCCCTTCTATACCTAAATAAAGAGATATACATTCAAAGATATATATATGTAGTGTATATTCAGAGATATATTTTACAGTCTTGCTGGGGCTGGTCTCTTTGTAGTTTGTACTGACCTTCAAATTCTCTTGAGGGTCCAATAACAACCTCTGTATTCTTGCTTGTAGCCTACCAAAAGAAATGACCAAAAAGCATGATTTAGAAAACAATCTTGACACATAGTATATGGAGTGTCATCTTACATGTTTTCACTTCTCTACAACTATGAATGATACAAGGAATTAAAAAAAATCAAATTCACAGGTATGATCTTTCGATAGGCAGTTTAATAGAATCAGTAGCTAGATGACCAAGCGAAACAAATCATCACCACACAAGCAAGAACATCACAAAGGACAAATCGATTAGTGATTTTACCTTGGAGAGGGGTGGCGGCTCTTCATACAGGAGGCTATAGAGGGTCGGCTCAATTTGCTGGACGGCGCATGGAAAAGGGCAGAGCTGCTTCTTGGACGATGGAGAAAGATGTCGCTACCTCTCCGCGTCAAACGTCCAGAATGCATGCCTCTTACTTTTCTTACTTGCTGCAGCGCATGAAAAAATTCTCCTCCTCTTGGCATGTCCATTCAACCCAATCTCCAACTGGAATTGAACTTTGGGAGGGTTACCTTCACAACCACTCTATAGTAGAAAAATAGCAAATTCCCTCTGTATTTTAGCCATGGTGTTTGCGGCAAGCTAGGTTCAAATCACTAACAAGAGACCTCCTATATGAGGAGATACTTTCAATATGAAAGCCTCCTCGTTCCAGTTAAAACATACCATTTTCAATATGAAAGCCTCCTAGTTCCACCAATTGTTTAGATGTAACTCCAAATTTCAATCCACTAGCTAGAGACCAAAAAAGAATTAAGAGGGTTGAGTCATCAGCAGCCTGAGGGCAGCAGCCTGGGAGAAGATTAGACATGTTCCTAGAACAAATTAACAAAATACCTTCATCTGTGCACCACTCAGACTGCTTAGCTCCCCAATAAAAAGCACAGTGAATTCGCCCTGTGCCACGGCCGTCCTTGCAATCATGATTGCAGTTTAGTTCTGAATTCGCTACAAATAAATGGCACAAGACATCAAATCAAAGAAAACACCACCAAGCACATATATCATCAGGATGCCAATAGAATGTTTCTGTAAAAGGTAAAGCCATTGAAAGCTCTAGTTTGGTTTTGATAAATTGATGAAACCCTAAGTGCTAACCTAGTGTATCAAGTGATCATGATATAGGTAGCACACTCCAAGTGGTGAAGCAAATGAAGATCATAACATGATGATGGTGATGCCCTGGTGATGATCAAGTGCTCGGACTTCGAAAGAAGAAAGAGAAAAACAAAAGGCCCAAGGCAAAGGTATAAATTGTATGAGCCATTTTATTTTGGTGATCAAGACACTTAGTGAGTGTGATCATATTTAGGATCGATAGTCGTACTATGAAGAGGGGTGAAAGTCGTATCGGAATGCGGTTATCAAAGTGCCACTAGATGCTCTAACTCATTGCATATGCATTTAGAATCTAGTGGAGTGCAAACACCCTTGAAAATATTTATGAAAATATCCTAACACATATGCACAAGGTGATACACTTGGTGGTTGGCACATTTGATCAAGGGTGGTGAAGTTTGGGAGCAAGGGCAAGAAACTCCACCGGCGGAGTGTCCGCCCGTAGAGCGCGGACAGTCCGACGGTGCTACCGGCGCCCTAAACAGGAAAGACGAAGGTTACTGGGAGTGACCGGATGCTGGCCTCAGTTGGACCGGCGCGTCCGGTCAGGTGTAACAGCGAAGACGCTGGCGTCGGTCAAACGACCGAACGTTGGGTCGCTCTACGACCGGACGCTGGCAGGGTGCGTCCGGTCAGTACTGACGTACGCTGACGTGGGGCACATAGAGGAGACGTTGAGTGACCGGACGCGTCCGGTCGTGAAAATTCGCGTTTGGAACCTTACTGAAAACGACCAGACGCTGAGCTCCAGCGTCCGGTCACTTTTTAACTGACGTGTCCAGTCAGCAGATGACCGTTGAAATCTAACGAACATCATCTGAAGTAGGGGACACGTGGTGTGTATCACGTGACCGGACGCTGAGGGCCAACGTCCGGTCGATCGGACCAGAGCGTCCGGTCACCCCGCGTTCAGCCCAGTGAAGGGGTACAACGGCTCTATTTCGTGTAGGCTTCTATTTAAGCCCCATGGCCGGTTCAAGCTCACTCTCTTGGCCATTTGCATTGACATAGCAACCTTGTGAGCTGAGCCAAAGCCCTCCCACTCATCTCCATCATTGATTCATCATCTTTGTGAGATTGGGAGAGAATCCAAGTGCATTGCTTGAGTGTTTGCATCTAGAGGCACTTGGTATTCGTGTTTCGCTGCAGGATTCGCTTGTTACTCTTGGTGGTTGCCACCACCTAGACGGCTTGGAGCAGCGAGGATCGTTGAGCGGAGGGTGGTGATTGTCTCCGGCTCCGATCGTGGTGATTGTGAGGGGTTCTTGACCTTTCCCCGGCGGAGAGCCAAAAGGTACTCTAGTGGATTGCTCGTGGCTTGTGTGATCCTCATCTTGTGTTGGTTATGCGACACCCTATTGAGGGTTTGGCGTGTGATGTCAATTAGCGCGTGAACCTCCAAGTGAGTGAATCGCCACAACGAGGATTAGCTTGCCGGCAAGCAAGTGAACCTCGGTAAAAATCATTGTGTTCATCATTTGATTCCGAGGTGATTGGTATTCATTATTATTGATTCTTGTGATTGATTGGTTCATTCCTCGACACGGCGGTATAACTATCTTGCTCATTCTCTTTACATTTCCGCAAACTAGTTGTCAAGCTCTTTAGTGTAGCTAGTTGTGAGAGCTTGTTAGTTTAGTTAGTGTGGCTCTTTAGTTAGCCTTTGAGAGCACACTAACTTAGTGTTGTGACATAACTATTGTGTGGATTGAAATTATATCAACTAGAATTATGGTAGGTGGCTTGTACTTTTGGTAGGCTAGCGCAACACCTGCTTCGCTTTATAATTGTCTAACCAGTTTGCTAAGTGTTGTTGTAGAAAATTTTATTATGCTATTCACCCTCCCCCTCTAGCCATTAGGACCTTTTAGCCATACCATTTTCTTCAAGAGTGTGTTCCCATCCTTAGTCAGCTTCAGGTCACCAGCTCCACCCACAAAGCCTGCAACCAGATTAAATTAGGACTGTAAATTGGATTAGTGCTTGCCAAAAAGAAATACCAAGAAAAATCAACAAGCACGTGAAAGAGAACAACATAAATCCTTTCACGAATTCAACCAGGAGACCCCTCCAGTGTCCAGTCTCGATCTTTCGTGAGAAGAGTAACAAGAGAAATAAATCTGAGCACGCAAGAGCTAACTATGGGGACAGAGAAGAAGAGTTATATGGATTGAACAGGCGGCGAACGAAGGGAAGATTGTGCTACACGGAGGGGAAGAAGCTTTTCTTGCGAGGGCGGGGCTCAAACGCACCGTTGCTAGAAGCAAAGGCAACCAAATCGAATCTCACCTTGCAGGCGGTTGGGTGAGGCATGTGCACGTTGTCCCACGGCCGAGCGCCGCCGTCATCGCCCCACGCACCCCGAGCCCCGCGGCTAGGTTCGCGCGCCATGATGCCGCGGCTAGGCGCCGGCGTCGCTGCCCCGCGCACCTGAGCCCTGTGGCCGGGCGCTGCCGCCGCCGCCCCGTGCACCCTAGAACTACGGCCGGGAGCCGCCGCCGCTGGATTTGCCCCGATGCCCTGACCTGATACAACCGCTGGATTTACCCCGACGCCCTGTTCTTGCGTGCGGTGTAAGGGCTGCCGGCAGCGTTCTGGCACGTGCAGTGGAAGAGCTGCCGGCAGCGTTCTGGCACGTGCAGTGGAAGAGCTGCCGGCGGCGTCCTGGCACGTGGGATGGAAGGCGGCCGGCGGCGTCCTGGCGCATGCGGTGGAAGGGCTGCCGGCGCGCGACAGGGAAGCTGATTGCGAGCATGGTTTCCTTTCTTCACCCGAGGGCCTCGCATGATCAGATGCGTCTGGCAGACCGACGAGTCGAGCGAGGGTGCGGGATCGCAGCGGGCAGAACGATGGACCCAAGTTGGAATGTCGCACCAAAAAATGTCCACTCTTTAGTCTTTTTAGTTGTAGGAGATCTATCAGTCTTAGAAACTTGGTCTAATGGAACAAGAGTTCCCGCCAGTTTGTCTACCGCCAATCTTTTGAATCTTAACCGCGTATGTAAATGGCATCAACTCGCCATTTCAAAACAGAATCATTGTTCAACATGGAGATTCCTCCATTTTGTAAAACATCTGACTACCTTTGCATGCATTTTGGCCTCTATTTTCTGTCAGTCCTCTTCTTCTCACTGATCTCATCATGATGGTCCTCAAATAAGAACCAATCGATAAACCTATGCACCTATCATTGACTGTAAACTAGAAGTTAAATCTAAACTAAAACTTACTTTAACTGCTAGCTTCATGCCATAAAATTGACATCAATGCCTCCTGAAAGGCTATGAATTGAAGACTTCTGCAAACAAGTGGTAAAAAAATCTTAATTTGTGACAGCATAATAATTTGTCCTTTTTAAACCATCAGGTGCCTTCTTTGGAACAGTGGTGTGAACTTGAGAGAGAACATATAAGTTGCCTTGCATCAGGAACAGTTGCCCTCCGTGATGCTGCATCACGTGTACCAATCCGAGGGAACATTAAGGTACGCTTTAATTTTTAAAAGTAACCACGTGGCATTTTAATTTGTTCCAGTTTTTTTCATTTTTATTCATATCAATTGTTTTCTTGTGCCATACATGGTTTATCAACTTATCCTTGTGACAACATTTCAGACCAACATTGGAGGAGTCAAATTAGCTTTTAACTCCCTGTGCTGAGAAGTTGTTAAGAAAGGTACAGAAATTTATAACTTTGATGTAGCCCCGATTCCTACACTGCACATGGTTGTTCGAATTTACAGCTTTCCTTTTCATAAAAATGAAAACCCTCAGTTCACAACATTCTTGCGTAGTGTACTCATAAACCAACATGAACTAAAACTGTTGCCCATTTGAATGTTGTTTCACACATGGCAAAAGCAATATCTAGTCTATACCTTCTGGAACAAACTGGCATGGGCTATGGCTCTATGGTCATTTTTATTGAGTTCTTTGATAGAACGAATTGATGTAGCTTATGTCAATCTAGTATAATAAAAATGCCTTTAGTACCAACCAAGTTAGGGTAGGCTATGTAGCCACCAACAAAGTGGATATGAAGTAAGAAAATAAAAGAAAAATATTAGTAATACTATGTTACTAACATAAGTAAAAGAGGATCAGTAAAATAGGTCTTGCGCATGTGGATTACACATTCTCAGATGCTCCTACCCAAGGATAATTCTTTAGGTATATTGCACTCTTTTTTTAAGTCATTCTTTATTGGCTCCTCCATGTCTCTATATATGGCCATCTTTATTCAGATTTGTTTGCTAGGACTAATTGATTATCTTGCAATGAAGGTTCGAGAAATTGAGGATATGGCTTCTGAACTCAACAATGTGGTATCAAACGAGCAAGTGCTACTTCAAGAGTGTGCTGACCTCTTACATCAAGCGCATGATATGCAGGTGTGGTTCAACCAAAAACAAACTAATACTTTGGTCTGCATAAACTTAGTTCTGTTCTATCGAAATCCTATGTGGAGAAATGCTTAAGTTTTCCTACATGCTATGTTGAACTGACAGTGTTAGGCATTCCCCGATTGTGTACGTGATGTAAGACGGCCTCAGGATCCAAGTGATGTAGCTGATATACAAGACTGAGAAAAGGATTGGCCGATCATGAAATATTGATTCGGAGTAATAGGGCTTTTTGTCTTCTCAATAGTATAATGTAGAAGCACACGTACTCTGCTATATAATAAAGTAAAAGAATAAAGAGCACAGAGATGTTTGTGTTAGAAACCAAAATATCTGTCACAGTTCGAAGCGTATCTGAAATAATTCTTATCATGTGTGAATATCTCGAAGTACAAAATTGAACAATTATATATGAATGCTCGAGCAGTTTTGGAGCATCGGTAGACGTAAGAGAGAGATTATATGAATATCTCGAAGTGCCTTTGTGGTCTGTTCGTGATGGAGAGTATGCTTAAACTCCAAACATGAATCAAAGCTTTTCGTGTACCTACCAGTAGTATGTAAGAAGTAGCTATTCAGAATGAGTGCTGCATCAGTTGCTGCCGCACGCTGGGTGGAGCCTCCGTGTGGTCGCCGACCGCCTTCCTCTTGCAGTTGAAGAGGAGCGGGGGCACGGCTACCTCATTGTGAGGCGACCTGAACAACTTGCACAGGACGAAATCTCTATCTCCTCCTCCCACGCCGCCGCCGCCATGCTCGTCGTCGAGCGCGAGTTCCAACATGCAACAGCCGTGCCTGGTGACTGTCGTCCACGGCGGCGGCGTCCTGGCGCCGCCGTAGGAGTAGGACAACGTGCGCGAGTGCCCGACGCTGCGGCCGTCCGCGCCCCTGACGGGGCTGACCTCGCCGGTCTCCGAGTTCCATCTCCCCTCGCCCAGGGCGCCGGGCGCGGCCTTGTGGCCGCAGCGTGCGGGGCAGATGAAGTACCAGTAGGTCCTGCTGCCCGGCGCCGGCGCGTACCGCTCGGTCAGCCTCTCGGGGGCAACGGAGTAGACGTCGGCCAGGTGAACGACGATGCCACCGCCGTTGAAGCGCTGCTGCCGAGCGACCATGGGGTGGAGGACGAACGTGATCAGGTCGTGATCGCTGGGGCGGAGAGCAAAGCTCCCTTGAGGGCGATCGGCCATGACCATGTCGATATTGCGTGGACCAGCGATCATGCATATTTATGGATGCGATGGATCGCGTGAGGCGTGAATGCGGATGTGGAGATATATATGGCAAACTGAATCGTATTCAGTCATCACGAACATGCATGGTCATTCATTCTTTATTTAGCGCTCGTGTGCTTCATTCAGTTCCCAATGCACACTTTTTATTTGAACTTCTTCAAATGATTAGTTTCCTTGTATAGCTGATCGAACTTTCGTTTTTACCTATTGAAATATAGCTCCTTTTTTTTGCATGTCAGCCTTTTATTTTCTCTTTCCTTGCATGAATATTCATAGATTCTTATCAAACTACCATCTTAATTAATTAGTTAGGTTTTTTCATGTCTGATGATGGACTTTATTCGTTCCTACCTTAAAAATGAATGAATGTGCAAAGAACCTAGTGACCCCTTGATCTATAAAAGTCGTGGCCTCTCTGCCTAGATCCCTATGGTGGTGATCTAAAAACAAACGCATGGAATCTGAGTGAAAGCCCTGCCCTCCAAACCGGTGGCAGTGTCGCAACATGCGCCATTTACCTTCTTGGAGGCGTTGTCAAAGATTTCATTCCGCCGTTCACTTGCTGGCATCGATCTTGGGCTGAAAGCCCTTCCTTGCTTGCTGCTTCGTCCAATGACGGCGGTGTCCGTGGATGTCACTCTCCTTCTTGTAGGCATCGTTGTTTTGCACCTACAATTGTGCCTCCACTCGATCTATATATTGTTCCTCTCGTGGTCTCGCTGGTTTTGCTCTTTTGTCATGCCTGTGTGTGCCTCATGTTCTTCGATCCTGGAGTGCTTGGCTTAACCACTGTCGTTGGCTCTCGGGGCGGATACTTTGCCGCCATCTTCCTCCGTAGATGCTTGGCCGCTAGTGGTTTCTCTAGCGGATGCTTTGCCACCGATGATGCTTTCATCCCCTCTCTAGCAAGTACTTTGCTGTCGAGTGCACATTGGGCTCTCACCTTGCGGATGCTTCATTTGCTGTCAAGGTCACTTTTGGTCTTCTCGGGTGGGTGCTTTGCTGCCATTTATTGCTGATTGTTTGTCTCTTCTTATCTAGGTGGATGCTTTCTCATCATGGCTATGTCCCCTACGTAGGCAACCTTTGCAATGATATACCTTCTTCCCACAGATTCAAGCTAGTAGGGTTTTGGGGTTGTGGGTTCTTCCCCATCGCTGCTCTTTCCTTTTTTTTTTCTTTTTCTTACTGATTTGGTTTATTATATCGCTTACTACTAGCTTGGTGTTTTATAATTTGTGTTGCGAGGTCTCTCTCGCAGCTACGTTGTGTAACTCTCTTGCTCTTAATAAAGAAGTGCTAAGACACGGTCGTGAAAAAAAACAAACATAGCAGGAGCACTTTTATAGAAACAAATGGTCAGAGGAACTATTTTTTGTCAACTTTCACTTCTAGTCCTTCCTTTAGAGCTTTCATTCGCTATTTTCTAGGGGGTCTACATTAGGTAGCTCGAGCCTCATCCGACCCGAGTGGTGCTAGATTCACACCTAATTCCCGTCTTCCAATATCATGGCCTCAAATTTTGTAATGCTAAGGTGTAGGGCTCGTTCGGCTGCCAGCTTTTAAGACTGTGGTTGTGGATGTTGTAGCTTTTGCTATAGTATTTTATGCTGGCCGTTGCAGTAGCCAGAGCCAGAAAAATACCAACACCATTTGTAAAGCAAAGAATCATGGCGTGTTTGGATCAAAGGATTCTCAAAGAAATTTCAGAAGAAAATATGCCAAAGAAAAGGAATCACTTGATAGTGTTTGGAATGAAGGAACATTGATTTCTTTTTCAAAGGAAAGGGAATCATAGTAGTGGAAATAAAGCATCCACTCTAACTCAAGGGAGAGAATCTTTGCTCTCCCTCTCTTGCTATGTTTGCTCATATTTGTGTAATTTTTTCCTCCATCCCAAACAGCTCAAAGTATCCGTTCCTTTGTTTTGAAATCCTATAATTTTTTACTATTCCCTCTATTGTATTTCTGAGTTTTTTTTTCATTTGTCTGTTTTGTATTCTTTTGTTTCGAATATGTCCTCGGTGTAGTAAGCATCTGACGTGATGAGCAGCAGAGTTTGGTGAAGAAAGACGACAGACGTCAATCGCCAGCCAGCCAGTAGGTTCCAGGAAGAACGAGCTGGACCGGTCTGAAAGAAAACGTAACCTGAACGCACTCTCACTGCCTCAAATCCCAAGTGGCCCGAGCCTGCGGTGGCCCTACCGCACCGGCTCAGGCGCGTTTCTTGATTCCACGCGGCAACAAGCGCGCGGGGCACAGTCGAGTAAGGGCATGTTTAGTTGCCAAAAATTTTTACGTAGTACCTATTACATCGAATCTTGCGGCATATGTATAGAGTACTAAATGTAGACGAAAACAAAACTAATTGCACAGTTGAACGAGAAATCGCGAGACGAAACTTTCGAACCTAATTAGTCCATAATTAGACACTAATTACCCAATACAAACAAAAATACTACAGTAGCCAAAGCCCAAAAAAAATTTTGGATCTAAACGCACCCTAAGCTTTGCCTGCCGCCGTCCGGGGAGTCGGGGACAAACGAAACAAGCAAGCAGCAGGCTCCAGCTCCACTCCACCAGTCCACACTCACTCACTCCCTGGGCACCAGTCTTGCTCGCGCTTGCCGACCTCAACTCCTCCTCCTGTTAGATTACTGCCACTGCCAGATTGGTGATCTGCTGACTCCATCATCTCAGCATTACCAACTTCCATGCATTCCATGGATGGTGTGGGCTTGCGAATCAGCGGCAGCGCACAGTTAGAGTCCACTCAAAGCCAAGCCAGTCCTCGCTACTCTCCCCTGTTGAACCTGGCCTGCAGGCAAAGTCCTCCTTCCTCCGTCGTTTTTCATCCATGTGTCCTCTTCTCCATGCATCCTCCCTAGTTGACCAAACACTGCCAGTGCAGCTCCCTTCCGGTTCCTCCAGTCACTACTGCAAGAAGCCAAGAACCAATCAACCAACCACCACTCGACGTCTCGGCCAGTCTAGTCGTTGCGCACACCACCAGCTTCTCTACTGCCCCTTTCTGAATTGTGACCGGCCGGCCGGCCTCTCTTCTCCTTGCTAGCGTTGCAGTATAAAACCGCCTAACTCTGCTTCTCAATGTGTTGCACTCACTCACCAGTCACCCAACCACTACCCAGCTACTCTAACTCTGATCCAGTGATCTTGAAACCAGCAGAGAGCCTAGCCATACAGATCGTTGGCATGGCCATGGCGGAGGCAGTTCTCGACGCTGCGGCGGCGACTCCGTGGCCACGCTCACGCCAGCAGATCCAGGACGACGAGGGCACTGTCGTCCATGCACAGCCGCGCTGCGCCGCCGACGGGCCCGCCAAGCGCAAGCGGTAGAGGGTCCTCATGCTGGCGCGCGGGCAGCGCGACGTCGCCGCCCGCGGCCCCGCGCCCGCACCGTCGTCGCCGTCCCAGGAGCACAGGTGCTCGGTATGCGGCAAGACGTTCCCGTCCCACCAGGCACTTGGCGGCCACAAGTCGAGCCACCGGCACCGCGCCAGCAGGACGCCCGCAACAACCACTTCCGAGCCGGCGGACGATCCGGCGTCCTCGGCGTCGCCCGCCGCGTCCTCGTCCACGTCCGGCGCTGCTGGCGGCAGGGTGGTGCACGAGTGCTCTGTTTGCAGGAAGACCTTCCCGACGGGGCAGGCGCTGGGCGGCCACAAACGGTGCCACTACGAGGGCAGCGCCGGCGCCGCCACCACGGCCTTATTGAGCAGCCGCGGGTTTGATCTTAACGTACCGGCCCTGCCGGACTTGATGGTTGACGCCGATTGGTGTATGCTGCCACCGGCGGCCGAGGCCGAGGAGGGGGAGGAAGTGCTCAGCCCCTTGGCCTTCAAGAAGCCGAGGCTGATGATCATGTCATAGTCAGTAGACACCTACTCCTCTCCTTACTCACTGCTGCATATATGCAAGGCTCCTCTCCTTGATTTGCTGTTCAATCGGATTGCTGGACGAATGTGTTGTTGGTAATAAGCAGAGTAGTACATGTTCTGGTCAACTAGCGTAGGTCTGTGAGCTTATGTAATCCCTCAGTCTAGAAAGAATGCGCGCAACATACTAGTATGAAGCCAAATTATTTTAAATTTGATCAAGTTTATTATACAAGATCATAATATATATATATATGTGTGTGTGTGTGTGTTGTATTGGTCAAACTTAAAAAAAAATCTAATTAAGGATAGAGATAGAATTGCATTTTTTTTTTTCTATACAGAGGCAGCGGAATGATTCTTCCATTGTTTTGTTGTGGAGGACTCGCCCTCTCACGCCTATATGACCGCTGTGTTTTACTATCAAAGATGGACGAGTAATGCATATATGATATTCATGTCGCTTAAACTTTTTAAAAATTTTGACTAGATTTATAGAAAATATTAACAACATTTGTATCTTCAAATAAGTTTATTATAAAAATATAATGATCTATACATAAATATTAATGTTTTTTAATATATTTAATCAAAATTAAGTACATTTGATCCTCGTGCTTGTTCTTTATCCATTTTAGAGAGCATTCCTCGTAGAATTCTTCCTGAAGGCATCCGAATTTTGGTGAAACCATTTGATACTGGTAATTTAAGATTAATACCTATGGATACATTAAATTTGTAGCTAGTTTGCTTCGTTAGATTGTTTTTTATTCTTTTCATGGCTTAGTTGGCCCATTTAGTTTTGTTTCTCTATTTTAATTAGTGTAGCATATATAGAATCAATACTAGTCTAGACGTTAGACGCAAGACAGTCACCAACCTTCCATCTAGCGTCTAGATAGTCTAAACCACGAGACCTGTCTACCGAATTAGTATAGCTATCCTTCCTATGGCACAACAATCCAGTTTTGCTTGGTCCCGAAACAGAATTCCTTTTTTCTCTTTTTTGTTCCTTGTCTATAGGAAAATTACATGTTATTAGTATTAGACGATTTTGTATTGCAGTAGCATAAATTTCATAGAAATTAAAACAAATGCATATATATAATTGGCTAATTGTATTCTATCATTCAAACACGCTGGGTGGGAAAAGGTGCTTAATATAGAGATAAAATCGGTATTACATCTCAAGGAAACAACCCATTAATAATCTATATCTTTTATAGAGCTAGTCCCCACTACATCTACAAGTCTATCTCAATATGCAAACCATACATATCATCCCCACTAACTATCCACGTCATCTTCCACAATAGTCATGTATCTCACTAACTTTCAACCTCTTAATTGCAAGCTATCTACGTACATAATCTCCACCGAATTTTATTCTAAATTCTTCGTAAGTTCTGCATCAACGCGCGATGTATCTTCTAGTTCATTATAAGAGAGAGTGTTTATTGATCTCCGTTTTTGGTCCCCGTGTAGGCTGAAAGAGTGGGGATATGAACTCATATACAGTGTGTGCATTACTTGCCTTGTTTTCCTAGGCCGAACTAGCATCATGGGTCCAAAGCTCCAAAGCAGGTTTTCCCACGCACATTTCAGGCCATGACTTGTCTGGGCTTGAATTCTTGCTTAGCCCAAGGATCGACAATTGGGCTTCACAGGAATAGTAGTTTTCTCTCGAATTGTTAAGATGGTGTTTTACCTTGTGGCAAAGATGGTGTTTCCATCCCGTGGGGCCCACCATTGTACGGCGTTGGTCCCATGCATCAATGACCCGGCGTTGTGTCCAACTGCCCATAGATTCTCGCTGGCTGAGATGGAGCTTGCAGCTGGCAAAACATGGCGAATATCACCATTGTGAATAAATGGATGGGGCTTTATCAAATCACAAGCTCAGCTCACGTAAGAGAGTATCAAATCCGTACCTTTATCTCAAGAAATTTCAGTATAATTTATACTCTTTTTTCAGGATGGAAAGCTCAACAAAACATTGCGAAGAAGCCGCCATTCCCACTTGCATTGTAATGGACGGGACTCCCTCTGCAACAGGCAGCCACGTTTGGCGAGGCGCCATTTCCGGCCACGTCGCCCCCCTCAGGGGACAAGGCACTCTTTGTTTAAAAACTTGCTTGGCCGCACATGATGTCAACCGATCTAGATTAAAAATGCGTAAGCTAGCTAGAAACCGATCCAGTCACAAGCTAGCTAGCTAGCTAGTCAGGTTAAGTCGATGCAGCACTGCTTGCATATGCATGCGTGGGATTCCATTGTTCTCGATCTTCAGATGGACAACAAATGTTTTGTTTATTAAGTAAGGTTAATCAGTGGCATCCTATGTGGAATCATCCCTGCTAAGCTAGTGCGTTTGCATGCATTATATTCACATGCATGCATCTGTCACTAGTGCAGCAAGGCTTTTTGCTCCTGATTGAGAAACCACTTTAGTCCTGGTTTTCTAACCGGGAGCACCAATCCAGGACTAAAGATGTCCTCCTTTAGTCTTGGCTTGACGCCCGGGACTAAAGGGGTCCCGGTTGGAAACACCAGCTGGGAGTAAAGGGGGCCTCCAGGCCTGGCCAGGGACCGCCACGGGGCAAAACCTTTAGTCCCGGTTGGTGTTACCAAGCGGGACTAAATGTCTCTCTTTTTTTTTCCTTTTTCTGGTTTCTATTTTTGGTTTCTTTTTTTATTTAATGATTAGTTTTGATATTAAAATACATTTTCGAATACGCTGCTAATAGTAATATATATGTGTACTTCGCACGCGTAAGTTTTCGTTCGAACTTTGTACATAAATAACAAACGAATATACGTGTACATGCATATATATATATATATATGATGATCATATATATACACACGTTATTTTATGTACATATAATATGTGCATATATATATATATAACAAAGGTTTGATATATAAATTGTTTATGTCCTTAGCAATTCACTCCTCCAGGCATCCACGTTTCGTTCGGGTCATTGTAGAACTCACCGTTGGAGTTGATGACCTGGTTATTTAGAAATCCTGCTATAGTCTCTCGAATTGTTTTAAGTTGGTCAAGTCGTATGACTCTTTTTCTCAACCATTTAGTCTTCAATAAAAGTTAAAGGAAAAAGTATTATATATATATATATATATATGTATGTGTATTGCTCATGTAATTACTTATACAAATGAGAGCAATAAAGAAATTGTAAATATACGATCGAAATAATATAAAGGAAAAAGTATTTATATACGTACTTTGAGTTGCTCTTCAGGAGTTCTCTTTGAGTACGCCATGATGAAGTCGCAAACATAGTATCCGCAGTAGTTGTTATCCTGCTCCTGCCTTAGAACCCACTTTTACGACAAAAAAATCAATTAGGGTGAATTGAAATCATCATATGGTGTTAATTGAATATAAATGTGTAGTTATAGTACTTACTTTGTGTGCGATTACACCCAGTGGCGCTTTGCAATGTTTCATTTTTTGTTCCTCAATGAACCTTTTCTAAACCCTGCTCCCAATAAAATAAAAAAATAATTTAACCTTTAATAATTGTTGAGAGATCGGCGCCATTATATATATATGTTGTTATAGAGAAACTAAATTAATTACCCTTGTATAATATCTATCATGTCTTGATACTCCGTTTGCGGTTTTCTCAACGAGTCTAAGATTTTCAATCTACTATTGGCCATATCGATGACCATCAATATCCAGTGATTTTATATATATGTGTGTGTGTGTGTGTGTGAGAGAGAGAGAGGTAACTAGCTAGTAAGGAAATATTGATGTCCCATATATATGATCGACATTAATTACTTATAATAACACTCACTTGAAGTTGTAGGGGAAGAGTATCTCCTTCTTGTCGCGTTGGTTCACTAAGAAATTCATGAGATTTCTCTCAGGTTGAGGCTTATAATCCTTCGGGGGGTTAGGGTGTTTGTATACGACATACGGATCAACGAACCCAACATCATTATCTTTTCTCTTTCTAAGTTCTGTCATCTCATATCTGCATACATGAAAATTATGAATATATAATAAAGAAATTGTGAATATAGTAGAAAATAATCACACTTACAGACAATAGCAGCTAATGAGACTTTTGTCGAGAGAGTCCAGGTGGCATAGTTAGTGTAATTCTGGAAGCTCGACATAGATAATGTCATTGCCACGGAAGTAATGGTGATTTCTAATTCTGACAGAAAGATAGATTTGTCCCGCATCAGACACCGACATGTACCACCCGTTTAGCAGGTACATTTGCGTACCCAGTTCACCTAATTTCTCTGGGTTGTATAGACTCTGGCCTGGTACAAATTTCTTGTAAGGATCCACTTTCGGAGCAGATGGTCCTTCAGCGAGCACTTCGGCAAGGTTCAAACCAGTGTCCTCATAAAACTAAAGAAACAACTCATAGCCGCCTACCTCCTCCACTAAGTTTAAGTTTGAACCATATTCGTTAGGAACGACAAGGGGGGATTGATTGTTGCGATTGTTGTCCGAGTTGTGCAACACCTTTCCCTACTCTCTTCTTTTTTTGCGCCGCCTCATATGACTTGGTGAGAGAGCGATCATAGTCTGATATCGGTTGTTTCGCAGCGCTCTTAAGAGAATCCCGTTTTTTGTTCCAACTTCTTTCTTAGCTGATCTAGAGGTAGGAAGAAGTATGATGGCTCCGGGTTCTCCCTCATTCATCGTGCCTGTTTTGCACCTTCAAAGAAATATGTCACTTCTTTTTATACTGCATCCTTTAATTCCTATTCACTTTTCTTATAAGATAGTTTTTGGAGAATAACTAGATGAGTATTTGATTTCTGCTTCTTTGCCGACGGGCAGGGCAACGGCTTCGTTTGCTAGGCGGACCTCTTAGGGACTGGCTTCCTTGGAGGCGGGGGAGGCGTTGGAGATCACCTTGGAGGCAGTGCAGACTTTGGAGGCCGTGGAGGCGTTGGAGACCTCGGCGGAGGAGTTGTGGACTTCCTTGGAGGTGGCGG